AAAGGAGAAGTACTGTAGAGCTCTCTGACTTACTCAGACAACAGAAATCTAGTTTTTTTGAGATGACATACTCTGCATTAAACCTGTAAGTGACAATGGAAGCAGAGTGTCTCTTTTTTTTTTTTTTTTGAGGTGAAAAATAATCTCAATATTTGAAAAATGGAACTTCTCCAGCATTCCAGGGTTCTTTGATTTGTTTGGGGACAGAGAGGTATATGTTAGAGGCAGAGATTTGCTTTATTTTTCCCAACTGAAATTTTCAGAAGCTGCTGTTGAGTTTTGGCTGCTAAAATTCTTACAGAAAATAAATTAGTAGGCAGAATACATTGTATAAGATATATGAATGTATACAAATACCTTGTATAAGATATATGAATATATGACATACTGTGCGTGTTTTCTACTACTGAATGGAACAGAACATTCAGAACAAACACTAAACAAATATTTAATACATTATGTGTAGTTATACAAGTATACATTATTTTTGAGACATGCATAACTGGATAAGACAGGTTAAAGTTTATCTTTCTTATTGATCCATATAGATATACATTTACATCTACTTACGCTGCAAGAAAGTAGGAAGCTCATGAATATGATAGTATTAAGATGTGAGCAAGATAGCGATGGCTTTGTAAGTCATGACTGGCAAACAATACTTGAACTAAAACACAGTGACTTCTACTGCAGAATGCAAATGTTAATGTACAATGCAAACATTACCACTAGCATGCATAGTATACCTCACACACAACCTACAGCATTTTCTTTATATAGCTGACTCTTTGCTACCTTGAGATTGTGACTACTTGCTTGTCACTACCCATCAATTTGATATCCATCAAAGTGACCAAATCTGCTCTGCCAATTCTGCTGACTGAGTCCAGGGACAAATTTGCTTACAGGAATTTTTAAAGCAAGAACAATGGATGCAAATTATGGATTATTTTCGGTGTAATCGACCCAAGGCCTTCATGCCAATTCTCAACTTTGAAAGACTGAAATAAATTTTGATAGATGTTTCCAGTGATATTGGTGTGGTGTCGTGCTAATACAAGCTTTTGATGTTATTGTACTAAAAACATGCAAAATATACTACATATGTCTGTAATGTTTTATTCATGTAAATAACTGCCCAGAGATAGCCTGATCTCTGATGGGATCTCAGTTGTTACCTCAGAGGGAATATAGATAATAATAAACAAAAGGCAAATATTAATGAGGCTAAAGGAAATTTTAAGGACATTACTATTTTCTCTTCTCCTACACTTCACATCAGCCACAGACTAGCGGTAAAAGAACTACATTTTAATGTAAATTTTTCATGAGATAATGAATTTATTATAATAATGAAGTTGTCAAATAAGGAGTCTATGATTCTCTTCTGTACTGGTGATTAATAACAGAATGAAATTCTAAAACAGTTTTCTAAAGGAAGCTACAACTGTAAGTAATCTCTTCCCTGGGGATATTACTTGTACAATAACTTGCATCTGATAATATAATCAAGGTATGTGATCACTGAATCCTTTATGTGAAAAGTCTCAGTACCATTAACATTCACTCTCTGTCAGCTTCTGAAGAGGTACATTAACATTAGGATTAAGTCCCAGATACATAAAAATAATAATAATAATAAACATTTCTGGGTTTATAAAACTTATAATCATTGTGGCAAAAATACAAAAGTCAGAATTGAGAAAATAAAAGAGTATGTAAAAATGTAAAGCCTTACAAAGACAAATAGGTATAAAGAGGTGAGAATTCACATGAAAAGACCCTAATTTGCTGCCTTTATTTCCACTGACTGCCAAAATGAGCCTTAATAATTTTTAGTCACAGTTGAGTTAAAGTGTGTAGAGGGTTTAATTATGTTTTGTGCAACACTTCAATTTTAGAGAGTTTTAGAAAAAGGCCTGAGCCTATTAGAATGCCAGTTTCTGGCAAGTTCTCAACAGCTGATTTAGTGACTTGCTGAGTTACAGTGGTAGAACTAGCTCCCAATAAAATAAAATTCTTTGCTAGCCTCAGTGAAAAAAAGTTTTACAGGCAGTACCTGCTTTGGTCCTTCTTTTAAAACTCACATTTGACCTTATATACTTTCTTACTCTTGGCCATGTATTTCAAATGTCTTTCAGCTGCTTTGGGAGTGTAATTCCTTGGGAGGAGTTAAGAGGAAGCATCACTACAATAAAACTTTCTAAAGATACGGGTTTTCAGCAATAATCATTATTTGTCTTGGTAGGAAATGTCAATGTTATTCTTCAGGGAAAGAAACAAAAAAAAAAAAAGAAAAAACAGGAATAAACTTTTATATTCAAGAGGATAGGACTTGTCATCTTCAAATAATTTAAGAACTTCACAGTTTGTCACTTTGTCACTTGAAGGAGGAATATTGCATATACTTTAAGATAATAATTCTAAATATATCAATCTTTGATCCAGAAAAAAATATATATTTAGAGAAAGTTAGTAACATTACCATTGATATTTCAAGGTGAAATGTAAAGGTCTTTGCTGTTTTCCTACTGGGAGTTGGTCTGAATAAAGGTAAAGAAAACCTGAAGTGTGCAACATTTAGTATTTTAGAAAATCCTAATATTAGGAAGAAGCAGGAAGGCAGATTACTTTAGAAGAAAAATAAAAATATCACTTTTTTTTTCTCGTCAATGATTGACAGCCTCCTCTACAATCTAGTCACCAGAACTCACACAAGAATCCTGAATTTTACCTATTCTTGCAGATATATTAAATATACTAATACCAATAGTAAGACCACCTACTGAAAAGTAGGCAAACTGCTCAAGAAGAAAGAAATAAAGTAAGTTGAAGTGGGTGTATAATGGCTGCTACATGTATCTACTGTAATCAGTAATTGTGGCAAACCATTTCTCCTGAGGTCATTTTATGACACCTAACATAGCAGCCAGATTCATAGCTTGAGACTTAAGATGAATATTGTCACTTTAGAAACACACTAACCCCCCCATCCAAATGTTCTCATCTAAAAAGAAGAGTATTTTTCTAGATTAAGGAGTAGAAAGGAGAAATCCGCACTAGCTGAGTCAAACTCATCTAGCTCAGATGATGACACTTCCTTCTTAATTTAAATGTCCCCATATTTACTTGTTGTTTAATTCACTGTTCCCACATCAGTATCCTTGTCTGCAACACAGGAAGAATACTTATTTCCTCAGTTCATATGGGTGTTTTAAAATAGGAGTTAGAATTTATTCCCAAGTAAAAATACTACAAATTTATAAATTCAGATCCTCCATTTGATACTGTAATTAGGTTTGGCTTGTTTTTGAGATGTATTTGAAAAAAAAAAAAACAGTAGTGATTATATTTCATACCTGATTTGTTTTATCCTTCATAATTCTATATTGGGAAGAATCTTGATTCTTTTCCTCAAACCCTTTTTCCTAAATTGTAATAGTGACCTCTAGTGCTTTATTGCTTTGTTGTGTGCCACAAGTCTTTTTTGCAATGGTTTTAATATGCGTTCCTATAAGCAGCTGATTTAGTTTCGTGCATACTGCCAAATGCTATTAATGTGCAATTCAATTATCACGGACTTGTGAAAATGGATGTATTCATAAACTGCACAATGCAGAATGATGAAGAGAATTAAAGCTGAGGCTGGATTGCAGCAGAGTGTTTTACAAGAGGAACTTAGTATTCATGTTTAGGGCTACTCTCTGCACTTGAGTATCAAATGAGATATCATTACTGAATGACAGCGCAAGATCATTTTGGTGCTGCAATGTGAACGGCTGGCTCACGGGAGCATGTTTAGTTTACAAACCATCCATATGCAAAACCCTAGGCACCCAGCACTTCAAACTTCCCTGTCATTGCTCAAATGTTTCCTAGGAGCTATCCCTGGCTGCCGGGCTATAAGGTTATTCCTGATCATTCCCACTCACTCTGTCATTCACTTTCTCCCTATACAGGCACTGTTTCTGCCTGCATAGGCAGAAATCCTTTGTACAGACAGAAATCTGTGATGCATGGCTAGTGCTTCAACAGGAAAGGGAGAAAATGATGCTCAGTTCAGGTTATGAGCATCTGGCATTTAGGGAAGCATTCTGCTACATGTACACAGATGAAATCCTTTCAGCTTGCTAAAGCTGAAATGGAATGATCATACCTCAGAAAAATTCTTGAGGGGGAAAAAAAAAAAAAAAAAAAAAAAAAAACCTTGAAAATTAGTCGTTATAAGTTTTTGTTGTTGTTTTTTCCTAATATAAAAATCCCTCATGTAACTCAGCACTGAAACCAGAGATTTTAGTGCATACATCAGATTTGTCTCCTAGAGGGCACATTCTCTTAAACACAGTAATCACTATCTTTATTTTGCCATGCCACCCTACTGGCTAACTATGATTTATTCATTTTTAAAAAACTTTCTGCTAGAACTGATAGTGTTCACTTCTTTAGTCATGCATGAAAATTATTCCCTAAGCAACCAATGCAGAGCCCATAAAGTCTCATTCTACACATTTTCCTGTTACATTTGTGCTGCTCTTGAACTGCACAGCAATGTTCCTCAGAGTTATTTTAATGCCAGCTTAATTCAGAGATGCAAATACCAACCTGCAAAAATTACAAAATGCTAAAAAACAAGCTGGTGCAGTACACAATAGAAACTTGCCAGTAATTTCCTTGTAACACATAATTTCTTGGAAAATGCAGCACTTATAGCACAAAACAAGAAATTAAAATGAGGGTGAACATGCAATTTCTCAGTAAAATGTTGCTTTCAGATAGTTCTGGAATATAAGCTTTATAAGCAATATGCTGTACACACATAGGCTCATAACAAAATTCTTCAGAGGTCTTTTGGCACATTTTCTGCATAATAACTTGATGCTGTGATTTTCAGGCACTAAGCATTTCTCTGAAGAATGATATTAATTCTCAAGGTAGATAAAATACCCTCGAAGTTTTCAAAACACTCTGGTTTGAGTTTTTATACCATATGCCGTACTTACATTTATTCCCTGCCACTCGTGTGCTCCAGCTATGAACAGCTATGACAGCCAGCAGCTTCAGGAGGATTTCAGTGGCAGAATCCATGTTCACATTTGCAGAGGCGCCCAAAAGAGACAGAGTATTAGGAAACAGCTGCTTTGCACTTCAGTCCTCTGCTCTCACCTCCTCTTTGAGCTACCTTTCGCTCCTTGCCGTGTTTCCCAGTGGGCACACACCTCAGTCAGAAGCTTTCCGCATCTCCTCACAGGCGCATGACCACCTCCACCTCTGCGGCTCGCCCTAACAACAGCAATCCCCGAAAAGCAGCAGAGGGAACCTCTCCACCGGCTTCAGAGCATCGCTCGGGCTCAATTGCTCGCCCAGACGGTACGGCGCTGCTCGCTCCTCGCGCGTCCTGGACACCCCTGGTGGTGACGGGTAGAAAACGAGAGACTGAGATGAAAGCCAGGCAGTGAGACAGAGCAGGCAGCACAGGAGCACCAAGGCGCTTGCAGGGTGCTCGCTGCCAACAGCGCCTTTCCATTAGCTTTTAAGTTAAGGAGGGAGGAAGGGAGGGAGGGAGGGAGGAAGACAGAGGGAGGGAGAGAGAGAGAATGGGAGGAATTAGCTGTGCATGCTGCTGCTCCTCGTGTATTTTGAGCATGGTAATTTTGCCCACTTCGTGCTGCTGAAGCATTGTAAGTTCTGCATTTTTGAATGAACAGATCATATATGCAGTATAGATCTCAGGTTTACCAGTGAAAAAGCAGTGTACCTTTACTTTCAAAGTGAGCAAGTGTAGGACTGAATGCAAAATGCACCATGAATTTCTCAAGTCAGGTTTATTTTTAATAATAAGAACATTAAATAATTACATTTTTATCCTATCAAAGAACACATTTTTACTATAAACATAATACTGTGCCAGGCTTTCTCAGAAAAGTGTAGCCCCGCCAAATATGAACACAGAAGCGTCCTAACGTTTGCAGTATAAGTGCAACCATTTCATTTCAGAAAGAGCTTCAGAGAAATTTTAGGTCACTAAGCATGTTTGCAAGATGGGCTAAATTGCTGTGAATGGTAACTACAGAAAAGAAATAGCCTTCCAAGTAAGAGAAATAACTCCATATTAGGGACTTCCTTATATGCAACTACAAAGTCATACTAATGCTGCATTAAAGATCTGCATCAGTCCTTCCATCACTACTGTTTCCCTAGAAATTCTGCTGTATGGACAGCAGATTTTGTCAGAAACTACTGAAATTACAAATAAAGATATTCACAGTTAGTCTGAGGTGCATAAACAGCACACTTTCAATACTTGCAAATTCAGCCTTGTGGCCCAAACTTTATTCTCCTGCTTCAGAGAGCTCTGAAGCTCAGAAACATCAAGAGGTCCTTGCACCCATTGGGTCAGCCACTAGAAAACACTTTTAGTATAATGCAGAGTTTCACTCCTGCATGTTGCAGAGATAATGGAAGTTAATGTAAATTGTCATGTAGAATGATTTGATGCCAGGAACACCAGTGGAACAGAGAGGAAAGGTGGATTAACCCCCAGAGCTTCGGAGCTTCTGTTGCTTGTTTAAAGTGCCTGCCCTTGATCCCCTGATCAATCCTCTGATTCAAGTAGAGGGAAGAATAAGAAGTCTTTTCATTTGCTACTGTTTCAGCCACAGTAATGTAGTTTTTACAGAAATATAACCTTGGCTTGGGCAAAATATCAACACCAGAAATGCTAAATAACAGAAGATACTTTGAAAAGTGCTTAATGCAACTTTTTGGTCCATTCAATTTAAAATAGCATATCATACCAGAAAGATTAAATAGGTCTATTTCTAAATGATCATATAGGGCAAAAAAAATATTCATGAGAAGCTAAAATAACAATATATTGTGTCTCCTGCCTTCCTGGTCTCCATATAACTTTTATTTGAAGGAAATAAGCACAGAGAAGCTATATTAAAGAGATGGATGAATTGGCCTTCTAGGTCTCAGAGTTCTTTCCTTAAATGTTTACATTTCCTTCAGGAGTTTAGTTCAACCACAGAATATCCTGCCTATAAGCTAGATTTCATTGTCATTTAGTTTCTTGAATTAATATTGACCTTCTGACTAAATGAACAGAAAAATATTCCTTCTGCTGCTTCCCAGTTCTAAAGAATAACCCATCAGAGACTCCTGAGCTCTGCAGTTAGACAAAATTTAATGTTTAAAAATAGGACAAATATCATAAAAATCTTGGCAAGGGCTTTAGGATTAGCTCTTAGAACCCTAGGGCTTTGAATTAGAAAGAATTAATATTCTGGTAATGTAATGCAGATTGTGTAAAATTACCAGTGCCATTATGGGTAAATATTTGTCTTATAAAATAGCTGAGAGTCGCCAGAAAGGCATATCTGACAGTGAGAGGTCACAGCATTTTTTTAAAATCTGAATTTCAAGCGAATATACAAATTGATATAATCTACATTTATAAGTATGGAAAAGCCAGTTTTAGTGATATGACAAAATAATATGCCAAAATGTGTATGTGTGTGTATGTGTAGACAGAATTTCAAAACTTTATAGAAAAACGTGTATCTGGAATGTCATGTTAATCACCATCTTCATCCAAGAATGAATCCATGGTACCTAGAAAGCCTCTGACATAGCATGGTTTGACTCACCTAGAATACTGCAACCTCCTCTCTGACTTTTCATCATTACACATCCTCCTTCTGCATAAATGAAATGCTTTTGCTCAGATAATGTTATCTTTCTATTCCAGTATCCCCGTTCCCACTTCTCTCTCTTTCCATAAAGCTCAATTTTGTCTATAGCTCAGCCCTAACTATAGCCCAGTTTTTTCATTAACTTCTGTGACACCCTTTGTTGGACTTGGGCAAGTCTTCCCCATCCCCAGGTAGCTACATACATTACTTATAATTACTCTTCCCATCCCTCTTTTATTTGCCTCTCTGTTTCAGTGTTTTATTTCTCATCTCTTGCTCTTGAAATTTTTCCTGCATACCAAAAACCTTCTTCACTTTTTCTTCCTCGGAAATATAGCATTTTCCTCACTGTACCCCCTAGCAGGATCTTTCCCGGAGTGATCTGCATATATGCATCATGCAAGTTCCCTGAAATAGTGACTGTCTTACTTTAATAAAACTTGATCTTCATAGTTAAATCATCTGCAAAAATTGTCTTTATCAAAAAATAATTAGATTTGGGTATGGCCAACCTTCACTAACAAATTGGCCCTCCTCTTTTTTCTTTTTTTTTCCTTCTCTCTTCCTTCAGCAAACTCAAATTAGTAGAAATATAATTCTCATTTAAAATTATCGTACTTGTGACTTTTTTTCTATAAAGAGAAATCACTTTTAAATTTATACTAACCATATTCTTGGTACTACTCCAATGTACTTATTAATTGTAAGGCAATTTAAAATGATGATAAAAGCATAGGACTGTAGTCAGTCACAGCACAGCAGTAGCATTTACTGCTGTATCAGTAAAGCAGCTGTACTGGGCTAAAAATACTTTCATTTTCAGCATATCATGGGTTTTCACTATACTTTATTTAATAACAACAAATAGAATAATAGAATATTGGTTTGTGAAATGCAGATGGGGTCACCAGCAGCCATACTGACTTGCTGCAAATATTTCCTCTAATTCTCCTCAATAAATCCCTAATTCCCCATGAAGTCCTCAGAAACTAAGTGCCAAACTGTTAAAATTAGCTCATCTCACCTTTCAGTAATCCCCCTCCATCAACCCTATGTTTTCTATATTGAAATAACTCTGACGTTTATCTTTAATAAGTAGAGGAGAAAGAGCAGGAGAATAGAAGGAAATATACGGAGGTTTTAAACATTTGTGTTGCCTTTATCCTATCTGTTTCTGTTTTCCTGATCCCCTCCTGGTGGCCCCGGTTAACCCTCCTTCTAGTGCCACCTGCTGCAGTTTTAATGGTATTACGGGTTTCTCTTTGCAGCAATCTAGTCATATAATGCGGCTGGAACATACCGTATCTTTCAATGCAAAGCAGACTGTTCTGGGAGCATGTAAAATTTGCTTTCCAGCATTGTCAGCAACCCTGCAGAACAGTACCCTCATAACTGTTAGACGGAAGAGAGCAAAAATGCACAAAAGCAAACATAAAATAAACTTAAAGGAGAAGACAAAGCACCTCTCTGCCTCATTACATGTGATACACTAATTGCAAGGTTGGAATCTTATTAGCTGTGTGTAAAGTCAAATAAAATTCATATTCAGGTGACATTTCTTAGCATATTTTTGTAAAGACTGATGTCTATAATAAGGACAACAAACAGTAAAAAATGTTTGTCAAAAATGAAGGCAGTATACCTACTAGTCCTAGCACTACTGGTTTTTCCAGTAGGGGCAGAATAGTACAGTTTATCTACTGATTGCTAAGCTACGAGTTTCTCTTCAGGTTGTTTTGGTTAAAAAAGAAGAAGAAAAAAAGGCTATCTGTGAACAACGAATTTACAAAACATTACACCTAATCCTGATTTCATTAGGAATTTAGGCTTTCATTCTGTATCTTCTCAGACAACACATGATTCAGGTAAGCAGAAGTGGCAGAAGTGTCTCAGTCCACCGACAAGATAAACCCACGTAAGAATCCATTCTCTACAACTGGAGGATCAATCCATGGATCTTGTGATCATGAGTCTGAGGGACCACATGGAGTATTGGCAAGATCCTTCTTCTCCACCAGGAGCACTCCAGGAATATTCCCAGGATGAAACAGTGAAACTGCAGGAGGCAGCTTTTCAGAGGTTTGGTAAAGGCACCCTGAATCTTCTCATTTCACACCCATAAATTCTGACTGCTATTCAGAAAACACTGGGTATCCATAGTTTTAGTATAGGGCACTGGATAATAAAATTATGCCTCCATCAGTAAACATTTGTAGTAAGCCTCACATACCAAGGAAAATAGAAAAATATGTACAAGTTAAAAAAAAAAAAAAAAAAAAAAAAAAAAAAGAGGGGTAAGAAAAAATTGGCAATTGCAGGACTTGACATTAAACTACTTTTGTTGCTTTGCTCCTAAATTCAGCAAAATCTGAAGAAGAAATTATTAAAGAAATGTCTGAAGAAGAAATTATTAAAGAAATGGAGACTGAAAGGTGACATTGAAGACATA